TTACCCCACACAATCAGAAGATAACCTTAATCTCCATATTTTTGTTACTTTTTCTCTTATCACATAAGATGTATAAAATAATTTTGAATTGTAATGTTCAGTAACCCATCACCAATTTTTTCTGATGGCTTTGTGTTGGGGTCAGTGAGGAGGCCTCAGTATTCTTCTCTCTCGGCCCTTCTGTCAACTCTCACTGTTTGCTTAACCAAAGGTATAGGACACCTCCCTCCCACTGTTCATTTCCTGAAAATATAGGACCTTCCTTCCAGAGCCCCCCCCCCACCACGGTAATTGATGGAAAGGCTTTGGACAAAGTTCTGGGACACAGTGGGGCCCATGTCAGTGTTAGCCATGCGTTGTAAAATTATCTTTAAATACTGAGCGGTTGGTGCTGGCTATCACAGGCTCGGTGGTGACAGACCACTCTCCTATCTTCATTTTCTCCCTTGGAGACTTTATCTAGCACCCAGCTCTCACCACCTCCATGCTCTCACTCCTAGGCACCTGGACTTCCTCTCATCTTTTAGACGTCTGGAAATAGCTGCATGTGGCAGCTCAAGAGTCTGCGTGAGGTCTCCAAAGTCTCTCTCATTCGGCACACATCCAAGTCCTCATCTTTCTATCACACCGTCCCTATGAGTGATGCCTTCGTGTTCTTCTAGCGGCTGGGTGCAAACCCTTCCCAGATATTTCTGGAATATGAACTCTTTGCCCTGTTATGGTACCACAATTCCAAAAGCAAAGCACAGCCAGCGTTTGGAGTCCATGACTAAAACTTGAAAATGAGTCTCCTTCTCTTGGTATACTCCCTCCACGGATACAGCTGTGCTTAGCTACCCTGTTCATTTCTCTCACTTTTAGAGTATTTTGTTCAGGTACCTCTCTTGTGCACGAGAACACTTCCAGTCTCCTCACTGATAGAGGAACCCTATCCCAACCCCTTGCTCAGAGTTGTGCACATCATGTTCCAGAATTTTTCAGTTTGTCCCAACCTTTTAGGAACTCTCTTCGTCTACACCACAGGGTCCTGCGTCAGCTTCCAACATCCAGATGCCTGCTGCCTCGCCCACCCCACCTCTAAAGCTGTGTTAGAGAAGTTGAAGTCTTTCCTCTTTGATCCCCGGCCATACATATCTGGCTTTCACTCAGAATCCTATTATCTGATGGAACCAGAAGTCATCCGAGGCCATTCTTTGTCATGCGGATTCATGTAATGGAGTCACAAATGTGATTTGAAAATTCCTGGGCATACTTGGTGGTGCCTCTCCTGCCCACCTGAGCCCTCTCTCTTCTTCCTTAGGCTAGTTCATAAACTGACTGCAAGGCTCCATCACTATCCCAAGAGTTGATTACGTTCCCCTTACCCTGCAGGATCTAAGTGACAGAACTAAGCATGGCCACAGAACTGGAGGCTCCTCCCTTTAACTGTGTATGCCGGAAGAGTGGCCCTTACACTGGCCACACTCAGCTTCCCTCTGTGAGGGCCTAGCCAGGCATGCCTGCCTTCCCTTGCTTTGGAAAGCCCTGATATCTCATTTTAACCTGGACCATTTTTTAAAACACCACCTGCTGTTAGCTGCAGAGTATCTAAGTCCCTGGAAGTCCTGAGCATCTGTGTCTCCGATCTTTCTCCTCTCCTCCTCTGAGACACTGCTTCAGCCTTCCTTTTTTTCCAAGAGGTCTTGCTGAGACCACTTCTATTTTGTCTCCTTGGCTTCACCTGAAAGCTTATTGCACTCACCTCTCTGCTGGCTACCATTCCATTGCCCTGGTCAGCCACAGCCCTATTGGGCTCTCATAATTTCTTTCTGAAAATCATTGTTTCTCTTCAGATTTGGCATGATAATTATAACCATAGCTAATATCTGTTGAGTTCACTGAGTCCCAGGCACTATGCTGTTAATCATTTATATTCATATTTTTTCAAATCCTCACCTGTAGGTGAGATTATTCTCCCTGTTTATTAGATGATGAAATGGGAACAAAGAATGGATAACTGAGAGACCTAATGTGTGGCATAGATGGCCCTGAGCTCTGAGTTCAGCAGAGCCCACTGTCCTGCTGTCCTGACCCCCACACTGTCCTGCTGTCCTGACCCCCACACTGTCCTGCTGTTCTGACCACCACACTGTCCTGCTGTCCTGACCACCACACTGTCTTACCTTGCCGGGATGCTTAGTAGAGGCCTGCTTAATAATGGGGAGGGCAGGTAAGTAAGCTAACAGATGAACTGGGCAGGGAGTCCCTTTCTCCTTTCAGCATGGACATTCTCTGTGTAGTGTTCCATTTAAGGAACTGAAGGTAAATTCATTTCATTAAATGTTAAATAGTCAACTCTTCATTTTTCCATTTTAGGCTACGGGGAAGAAAAGCTTCCCATATTGTGATTCTGGAGGGGGAGGGAGGGTGTTTTTAATAAATGTGCTTCAAAACATTCAAAATGTGTGTGCTTATGAATCTTAAAGAAAATAACCCAGGACAAACAGCTTCCTAATACACATTTGCATTTTGCCGCGGTTTGCATTTGTCAATGTGCATTCGTGTTCAGTGAACACATTTAATTCCATCAACGTTCTCTTTATGGTAGATTTGTATTTCTTGGAGAGACTATCCCGCTGAAGCCGTCGGTTGGAATATTTATTACTATGAACCCAGGGTATGCTGGCCGAACTGAATTACCAGAAAATCTCAAAGCTCTGTTCAGGCAAGTGCTTGTCTTGCAGCTCACATCTGGCGCTCTTCCGCCACCTAACGTCGGTTTGCTCTGATAATGTGGCTAGTTTTCACCAGAGGATTTAATTTCCTACTTATCTTTCAGAGATCCCTCCGTACATAGATATAATAATAGTCTCCATGATAAATTCACCCGTGTGTATTGAAAGCAGCACTCAAATTAGTATAAAATCTATGTGGGAGTTCTAAGTATTTTAGTTTGTTTCATTGACATGTTTCATTGTAAGCAGAATTTTCACAAATTATAAAGTATTTGACAAATACAGAAATGTCTAAAGAGAAGTTATTTGCCACCTGGACATGAAGATGGTTAAATTTTTTCTAGTCTCTTCTATAATTTGTATTTTATAGAGTTGAGATATACTAGGGGTGGTTTTTATTTACTTTTGTTCTTGTGATATTTTGACATACATATTTTATCACATTGAAAATTCTTCAGAAATGTCATTTTACATAACTCGCAAATCATCCATCTCTCTTATGGCCAATCTATATTTTCTTTATCATCTTGTCTGGTTTGGCAAGCTTATTTTTGATTTTTAATGATACTAAAATAGCAAGCTATAAACACTATCCCTATTAACATTATTCTTGTTTCTAGTTATTATCCCAGAATAGATTGTGTGTGTATGCATGTGTATGTATGTGTGTGTATTCAAGTGTGTATGTTTGTGTGTGTGTCTGTATGTCTGTGTATGTGTGTGTGCGTGCGCATATGGAGGCCAGAGGTTAACAATGGGTGTCTTTCTCAATGCCCTCCAGCTTATTTTTTAAGGCAAGCTCTCTCACTGACATTGGAGCTGGCCAGTTCAGCTGGCAAGCCTCAGGGATCTCCTGTTTCCACCTCGGTGCTAGGATTGCAAGTGCGAGCTTCCTGGGCTAGCTTTTCCCTGAGTGGTGGAGATTGCACTCAGGCCCTCAAATTTATTTGGGTGCTAGGATTGCAAGTGTGAGCTTCCTCGGCTAGCTTTTCCCTGAGTGGTGGAGATTGCACTCAGGTCCTCAAGTTTATTTGGCAAACACTTTTATGACTGTGGTGGTTTGAATGAAAATGCCCCCACAGGCTTACAAGGAGTGACACTATTAGGAGGTGTAGCCTTGTTGGAGGAAGTATGTCTTATTCACTTCCTGCTGCCTGTGGATCCAGATACAGAACTACTCAGCTACTTCTCCAGCTCTATGTCTGCCTGCATGCCACCATGCTTCCTGCCATGATGATAAGTGAACTGTAAGCCACTACAATTAAATGTTTTCCTTTATAAGAGTTGCTGTGGTCACAGTGTCTCTTCATGGCAGTAAAACCCTAAGAGAATGACTAAGCTGCTCCCTGTTGAGGAATAATCTTTTTGTACACTGTGAAAATTTGCCATTCAGATTGGTTTATTAAAAAGCTGAACAGCCAATAGCTAGGCAGGAGGGCAGAGAGGATGCCTGGAAGGAGGGCAGAGGTGTGCAGAGTTGCCAGCCAGATGGAGAGGAAGCAGCATGGGCAGTAGAAAGTAAAATAAAGGTAATAAAGCCATGAGACAAAAAGTAGATTGATTAAAAAAATAGGTTAATTTAAGTTGTAAGAGTTACTTAGTAACAAGCCTAAGCTATTGGCTGAGATTTCATAATTAATAAGAAGTCTCTGTGTGGATAGAAAAATCCACCAACAGTTCCCCAAACCCCAGAATAGATTCTTAGATGTGAAATTGCCAGGTGATGATTAAAATACATTGTGGACCTACTCAGTCAACATACACACTAACAGCAGCCTGTATAGGAGAACCTGCAGGTGTGTCTCCAGTACCCGTTATGCTCATGTTATCTTGTCCATTGCTTCATTCAGGGGTAATTTGGTGTACTAACATGCCTCCACTTAAGTGAACAGCTGTAGAACAGCACAAACATTAAGACTGAGAGACAGTTCCTAAACTCTCAGGAGTAACCTTGCACCTCTTGGCAACTAATCCCTCTGCTCTACACGACTCTGTGATTAAGGATTACATTTATCTTTCTTGGAGGTCATGTCAATCCCAATCTTTTAAACTGTGGGCCATGACTCTTGAGGGGTTCAAGTAACTGAATGTGGTGTTAAGAAAAATTTGGCAACAGTAAAGAGTTTCTGAATGCTCAAGGCCAGAAATTAATTAGAATCCAATGGGTAAGGAATTGGAGATGTAGCTCTGTAAACTTCACTACAATCTTGGTTCTGAACACACAACAATCACCAGTGCTGCCCAAAACACCTTGGCTTAGATATTAGACTATTATGATGTGTGTTTTGTAGCACCTTAATATATGTACATAGTTTACTGCACTTGTGGAGACGTGGTTTAATTACAGAAAAGGAAGGCTTTGTTCCTATCATTATTCCTCAGCATTTTCCAAATTAGTATATCTTTGGATAGTATTTGGATAGGGTTCATTAGCTACCCAGCCTAGCCTATTAGACTAGTGTAGAGGACAGTAAGCCACACCTGCTAGAAACTGGCTACAGGTGTGCCTGATCATGCCTGTATGGGCATGGTCAAGGTGAGGTCAGGATGACGCATGATAGGTTTTTCTTAGGGGCTGTCCACAGGTGTGCCTGACCACACCTGTCAGGGCGTGGTCAAGGTGAGGTCAGGATGACGCATGATAGGTTTTTAAGGGGCTGCAAGGCATATGGGAGACCCTTCTCTATGGCCTGTCTGCCTTGCTGCTCCTGGAACACTCTGGCTTGCGTTTGGCTGGTGTTTATCTGAATAAAGATATCTTAACCTTATGGACTACAGATGGTCTCTTGTTATAGGCTAGTGCCAGTTCAGTGAGAGAACTTGTTGGGGGGGGGGGGGTGATGAGTTGAATGGTGTCTCAGGAATGACATTTTTTTGGCTTCCACACACATTGACATATATTCCATGTCCATGTGTGCTCACATGTACACAAACACACCCACAGTCTTTCAATGAGTTTTGGCTTGGGATTAGAATAGAATTTCCAACAGTTTCTAATGACTCTGAGCATGCTTTTGCTATTCTTATGATCTCAAAGCAGCGGCTCAGTATTGACGGTTGTACAGTCAATTATTGATCACCTCTGCAGGATGAAATAATAGCCAAAATGTAATTCTTTGTGTTAAAAAATATATATTTCAACATTATGTAAATTAGCTTTTATTTTTAATGAGTCCTAAAACTCTATGAATACCAAAGAATGGTTTTAGAATTGGTTTCCTTATGATTTATCATCAGTGAGTGTTTTGTTTGTTTACTTAGTCTGTATACCTGTAGACTAGGATAGAGTGTAATTCTCTAAGGCGAAAGGGAGAGTCTTGCTGCGATGAGCCTATACCCAATTTCCTTACTGCTCTCTGGCATCATCATCTGAACACTTTGGTTCTGAGATTGGCCCAAGCTTCTGTGCTGATCAGGAGTTGCTTTTAATCATAGAGTATTCCACTGTAGACGTATTAGAAGATGTTTGTCCATGCACCACCAGTCGATGGTCATTTTCAGTGATACCAGTCTACAGCCTTTGTGAATAGAGCTGCTATGAATGTGTGTGAAAATCTTTGCAAGAACATGTTTTCATTTCTTCCAGGTGTATATCTAAGACAGGTCATGTGGCAAATGTATGTTTTTACATAGAAAAAAAAATACTCAATGTTGCAATAGCCATTGGACTCCTTTTACACTTTCACTACTAGTGAGTGAGAATTCCATTGTTTTATGTTCTTATCAAGATCTGACATCGCTAGCAATGTGGACATTGTGACATTTGTTGGCAAGTTTTACCTAATGTAATTGATCTATTATAGTATCATTATGAATTTACTTTGTATTTCCATGCAAGCTCATGGTCTTGAGTATTTTTTTTCATGTGTTTACATGTGTGTGTTGGAGTGTCTGCATTTATCTGTGTGTGTGTGTGTGTGTGTGTGTGTGTGTGTGTGTGTGTAGAATGATGTATATGCAGTGCCTTTATTAGATAACATTCAGTATAAAGTTTTTCTCTGATTTTGTGGCTTGCCATTTTGCAGTTTTTGTGGTGTCCCTCAAAGATAAATTTTCAAATATCATGAAGTATAATTTACCAACTTTTTTTTTTAAATATTCTAGTTAAGGAAACTTCCTTAGCCAAAGCTTGGGGTTTTTTAAACTTTGTTTTCTTTAACTGGTTTTGTTGTTGCTTCTTTTTAATGTTTTCTATTATTCTGTTAATTTATTGGACTAAATTAATTGACTTTCCAATGATAAGTAGCCCTTAAATCTTAACATTCCCGGGATAGACCTCATTTACTTCCCAGGCATTGTTTTTTATATGTTGTACTGAATTTAATATGCTATAATTTTGTTAGAGATTTTTAAAGTTCTGTTCTACAGAGGACATTGGCCTTCAGGGTTTGCTTTGTAATCGCTATCTTGATTTTGGCATCAGACTAATGCTGCTATCATGACATTAGTTGTTGAGCATCTGTTTTCTAAGACTGTATGGGACTAGTATTATGTATTGCTAAAGTATTTGATAGAAATAATCAGTGAAGCCATCTGGACCAGGATTTTTCTTCATGGGAATCTTTTCAGTAATGAGTTTCTTTAAGATGTGAAGTTATTGGGATTTTATTTCTCACTGGGCTAGTTTTGATGATCTATATCTTTTATGAAGTTCTTCCTGTTGTCTGGGTTAATGGGTGTTTTAGCATGTATTTGTCTATCATATTATCTGCAAGGATGTCCCGAATTTTGCACATGGTAGCAATAATTTGTGTTGTCTGGCTTCCTCTTGGCCCATAAGGATAATCTAATTGCTTAACTGTTGACTTTTAGGAGTTCTTTAGGATTGAAGTGTATCTTTTAACTACCTAGCATGCCTCCAAAAGAATTGAATGCCTCTTTAAACAGATTACAGATTACAAGAACATTTATAGTTTTTAGTGTTATTTCCTTTAATTCTTTAAAGCTTAAAATATGCTTATCCATTTTATATTTAATCAGAATTCATTTATGTTTTATTCTAATTTTATAGTATTACTTTAAAAATGTAATTCATATAATGGAAACTTCAGAAGGTAATACAAAATGAGTATTTAATTCTGTTCCTTAATGTTCATCAAATATTCTAACATCTCATGTGGAATGTTTTTCCCTCTTCATAATAGCAGCTTCCTCTAGCATAGTAATTCTAATTCTCTTTTTTTTTTTTTTTTTTTTTTTTTTTTTTTTTTTTTTTGAGCTAGAGAATACTACCCTAAACAGCTACAGGACATGTTTGTTTCAGAGCTGTGCACCACCCCAGTATTTCCACATTCCTGACACAATTTATTTCATGTACTTCTTTCATTTGGGAAATTTTTTCCATAAATTCTTTTTGACAGACTAACTGCGGGATCATTTGTGTTTTGATGTTAGTAATTGTGGCAGAGGTTCTTGCCCCACCTGGTCACACAGCCAATTAGCCTCAAATAAACACACAAAGACTCTTATTAATTTATAAACTGTTGGCCAAAGGCTGGGGCTTCTTACTGGATAGCTCTCTTTTAATTACTAACCCATAACTACTAATCTATGTCGTTCTACATGGTCTTATCTTACCAGAGAAGGCCTGGCATGTCCCATCTTCTCAGTCTCTACATGACGTCTCTCTCTCATGGCTTCTTTCTTTCCCCTTCCTCTTCCTCTTATAGCCCTGCCTATACTAGCTGCCTGACTGTTGGCCAATCAGTGTTTTATTCATCAACCAGTAAGAGAAACATATATCAGAAGGCAATCCCCCCATCAAGTAATAGCGTCAGGAATGTTTGAGGCTTGCTCCAGTTATCTCCAAAGTTCCCCACTCATCAAGAATGATGTGCCCTGAAGTATATATTGAAACTTCTAGGGAAATCTGCCAACCTGCACCTCTATGAAAGGCTGATATGAAGGCTTCTCACCTCTTGGAGTTGTTAGACTTGAGAGAGGACAGGGGGAGCCTTTAGCACCCTGTGTGGCATGAAATAAATGCACAGTACATTAGAGTGTGGCGGCCCCATGTTTTAGTTCCCAGCATAGTATTATTCCCTAGAATGTTTCCTGGCATCATGCTGTTTGACTTTTACCAGAATGCTGCCACTCGCCGCCGCAGCTAAAGGCTGGCCTCTTGTTCTCAACATCGCTGCCTCTCCTTGCCAGTGAGACCATAAACACTGAGAGTTAAGAGCCTGGGTGTACAACTGTGCAGCAGAGCACAGGGTCAGTGTGTCTGAAACCCTAAATTAAATCTTCAGCACCACCAAGCATACAAGACCAAACCCAACCAATCCAGAGGGAAGTTAATGTATTGCATTTTCTTTAAAGTTGTCCCTACCGACAGGCTTCTACATATCTGCTGTCTCATCATCTCCCTGGTGTCCAGAAGATGTGTTTTAGTTGAACTGCAGGGTTTTGTTACTTGTGATTTACAGAAGCCATTATGACCTGCTTAGGACTGGCACCAGTGTTGGTACAGGCTAATCGCTTGATTTAAGTGGTATACACATATGACCTTACCACATTTTAAACTCAAGCTCATATTTAAACTGTAGACCCTGTGCCATGGTGGCCCCTGACATTGAGCTGATCTGTGAAATCATGTTAGTGGCAGAAGGGTTTGTGGATGCACGATCATTGGCCCGGAAGTTCATTTCATTGTACACACTCTGTGAGGAGCTCCTGTCCAAGCAGGTGAGAACTCTTTGGTTATTATTATTTGGTTTTATATTACCTTAAAATAGATTTTTAAAAATATGGACGCTGAATAATTTGGCATTCAAATGACACTTAGACATTTGGAATGATTTCAGATTTCCTGTGGGATTTTCAAAAGGCATGTTTTCCGAATTTTCTTTTTTTCTGAAACTAAATTTCAGACATTTTAGCATGTGACATTTTACTTGTAGTCCATATTGCTTATTATCAATGGGCTATGAGATTTTCTATAAGCATTATTGATGCTCTAGTTATAAAGAAGATTTCATGTTGCCTTCATTTCTTGTAGAGGGGAAGGCAGAAGGGGTTATAAAAGTAAGGTGAAGCTGATTCTTGAAAATATTCTAGAAAAGTTGGTTTTTCTCATTGGTTTCTCATCCCTTCTTTGGAGATGTATGGGGCTTTGTTTATTTATCCTAATCTCCAGAATGGGTTAAGCTTACATTCTTTCTCCTCTTGTCACATGCTTCTTGCAAATTTGTGAAGCTGTCAATATAATACAAGTGTGTCACCTGCCGTCTTCTTAAGTTTAGCTTTGTGTGTAGTTTTGGACTTGTGATCTTTCACTAATTCCTTGTGACATTAGACTGCAGCTGTTAAAGTGGGGGTGTTAAAACACAAATACTTGCGCTGCTCAATGTATTAATCTTAACTTGCCCACTCTTAGGATGAGATCTGAAACCTGAGAGATTATATTGTCATTTCAAGAGCAGGCATTTGAGAAGGGAACTGTAATGCTTAATAAGATGGGAATGTACTGTACCACATTGCTGTATGCAAAAGCAGCATGCTACGTTGGGTATGATCTCAACTGATGATATGTTTTCTATACATGAAATGACCAGGAAAATAATCATAATCTTTAACAGTTTTCTCTGTAGAGTAAGGTTATTGGTATTTTCATCATCTGTTTTTAAATATAAAAGCTCCTTTAAAATTCCACTTAAATTTTATAGTGAAAGAATACACTACCCGTGTAAAATGAAACTGTTACCATGTCCATCACCAGAATAATATGTGAACATTTAGTGACCATCTACTATAACCACATAGTGTGTTTATTGATGAAAGTGACAGAAGGGTAAGACACAAAATAAATGAACCAAATACCCATGTGCTTTACTCTAAAGAACTTGGAGGTTCAATTGCATGAAGTAAAAACTGCAAGAAAGTAGAGAAGGAAAAGACCATCAGCATTCTCAAGAAGGGAAGGGCTCGTAGGATAGATGGCATCTGTTGTATTTGGTTTTGAGATAATGTCTTACTCCCAGCCTCCTGGCAATCTTCCCAACCTCCTGGGATTACAGGTGTATATGGCCTCACCCAGCTACATGAATTGCGTTTTACCTTCTCCTCAAGATTACCAGATGGGTGGTCACAGTCCTGTTGATGGATGTGGACATTTCTGAAATAACCCAGAATCCCGGGCTATTAGGTGGTAGGAAGCTGGTGTAAGCTGAGCTGGTTCTGACTCCCTCTCCAGGAATGGGGTACTGGGGGTCAGGAGGTGGGATGCTGGGGGTCCAGAGGCGGGGTGCTGGGGGTCAGGAGGCAGGATACTGGGGGTCAGGAGGTGGGGTGCCAGGGACCAGGCAGGACAGAGAGGAATTCCTGGTCTGGGTGCAGGAGAAAAAAAAAAAAAAAAAAAAAAAAAAACCTTACCAAGAAAGGAGAGCTGGGCTAAGAGCAGAGCTCAGAGACATTTTCAAAGGGTGAGAGGAATTCAAAGAATCAGAGTGTTCCTGAACAAAGGAGTAAAATTGGGAGAGAATAGAAATGAAAAGATAGAGTTTTCTAGAATCAGTATTTATTGGATATTATTTTAGTAGT